TATATATAACATTTCATCTTCTGATTCCTATTTTACCAAGATTATATATGGGCCTCCTTTCTGGGGACAGTTTAAGATGCCTCGATGAATATTATTAGAGATTGGAGAGCACATAATTTTTTTTTATTGATAAATCTTTTTAGGATCTCGGTCCCATAATATCTTAAGAGAGATTTGTGTAAGGAATATGAAAGAAAAGAATGGATGTATTCGTCATATCTTAATTTTAGATTCAGTTTTTTGATCCCCTCTAACTTAGCAGAGGCTATGATCTAACGAACAGAGGGGACGAGAAAGATTTCGTGAGAGTCACGGTGCAAGGTCCCCAAAAGAAACTTAGAGAAAGTGTCATCTCTTCAGTCTCTCCACCCTCATTATACTTACTTTAGAAAATAATATCATACAAAATAGTTTCACAACAACTTGATCAAGAAATCATGACTAGCGTTGGCGGCCCGAAAATGAGGATACTTCATATGTCAATCATTGGCGTTAGTCGTGACTTTTGTTTTTTTATAGTTATGATGATTGCCGAAGAGTCGAGTTAGGCTAGTGAGTATGATTGATGTGTTTCTCAAATGGAATGGTCAAATCAGTTCAACGAGCTAGTTCATCAAGACAATTTGGTAGATCAGCTCATTTGCTAATATAAGACAACTAATACATCAACGAGTCAGGTTGGCGGATCACCCTAGCAAGTAACTCGCGAGAGTCTTTTCTTTCAAACTCAGGCCCTTGAAACCTATTGAGTAAGTACTTTTGCACATGCAGTCTATTTCTTTTTGAGGTTCAAGGAAGACAGGCTGAAGAAGTAAAGTATAATTTTTCTTTCAAAAATAGTCCAAAAGGCTGCCAGATTTTCATGCTGATCGACTGTAATTTTATGCAAAATTAGAGTTAATTAAAATATGGATTCTTTGACAAATTTCCCAGACGCCCATTTTTGACATGTGATGCATTTCTCTTCATTGCCACGATACCCTTGCTCTTTGTTTTCTTGTATTTTATTTATTTTTATTGTTTGGAAGGAGGGGGGCGGCTGTTGATTGGTTTGAAAATCTGCTATGTTTTATTAATGCAAGTGTTGGCCATGAATTAGTCTGAGTATTTTCATATAATGGAAACAATAGTATGTGTTCCACAGGTCAAATACTGCTGGATTATTCGGGTATTGGAAGGATTATGGTGCGGAGCATGACGGGCTGTACAGCATCAATACTAATAAAGCTATATAAGTGATAATGCTATTAAATAGAACACAATGTATTTAACTATTTATGCTTATCCGGATTTAAATCGATTGGTTATATTTTGTTATTTTGTGCAGCCTTGCGATGGCCGTAATAAGTCGTATTAAATATAAATGATTTTTTTTTTGGCCAAAAATACTTTTTTTTTTATGAAGATGGTAATTTATGTCCTAAATAATGCGTCGTGTTATATTGTGTGGTGATGTGCTTTCTTTCTTAAGTTAAATTGAGTCATGAAATAACATACAATAATTAAATTATAAAAAATAAATAAGTATCACTCGTCGTGACTCTTTAGTTGGCAGCTTTGCGTAAGTTCCCTAAGGTCACGTGTTCGAGCCCACCTATGTGCGGGATCGAATGGTTAGACATATGAGGTTGGTTGAGAGCTCATACAATAACCTCTCACCAAAATTTTTTAATATAAATATAGGAAAAATAATATTATTTAAAATGTATCACTTTTAGAAAAAAA